CCGTTCAATGCCCCTGCCCGCCCCCGTCCCGCTGGGGGGGGGGCCTGCCCCAGTCCCGCTGGGGGGGGGGGGCTCTGGCCCCCAGAACCATCCCGATCACAGGGGACCTAGTTAGGTCCTTGGCCTGTTGCCTCTCCTCTGATGGTGGGGCTCTGTGTAAAGGGGTGGCAGAGGGAGCGCTTCCCCTGAGATGACCCACAACAGATACTGAGGAAGGAGGTCCCCAGGCCTGATGGGAAGCCCTTGGGGTCCAGAAGGTCCACTGGGGCTGGGGCTGCCACTGCGCTTGCCAGGCCTGCTGGTCTGTGGGGGTCCTGTGCCAAGACCTGTGGCGTATGCAGGATCGATGTCTGGACCTCGACCTATAGGATGATCTGGCTGAGCACACAGATTTCACTTCTGACTCGGCAGAGTAGTGCAATGCTGACCATGGGGGGGCAGTTGAGGCATGCTCACTCTGATGACTGGCCATGGCTGATGGTTTTCCTCTGTGCACCGGGTCCAGTGCCAGAGGGGGCATCTCCGGCGCCTGCGAGGTCCCCTGCTGAGGTAGAGGCAACTGGTACCCGGGAAGTACCCCTGCAGCACGGTACCTGGCTGCGGCGCTGGGGGGGGCACTGTTGTACAAGTGCCTCTGTTGACACCCATGCAGAAGGGGCCAGTGACGACTGAGGGGTTGGTGTTGGAGCCAACTGAACCAGTGCTGGAATCAATGCCAGTAAGGGCATTATCACTGGTGCCGTCTGGACTGGCACTGGTGGGATCATCGTTGGTGCCGATGCATGTGTTGGCGCCTGCAGGGTCCAAGGCATCACAGTTCTCGTCGGCACTGGGGACGGTGCTGGGGGAGCCCCTCTCATCGCCTGTGTCGGCACAGGTGGCATCTGTGGTACCAAGCCATCTGCCTCTGTTGAGATTAGCTCAATGAGCTTGCATGCCACATCAAAGGTCTCTGGGGTGGAGGGGCATCATATGTCCCCCGTTCCGTCCACCGGGCCCAGGCTCTGGCTGTGCCCCAGGCTCTGCCTCCTCCTTGTTACCTTTGAAGCTGAGTTCCCCTCCTTAGAGCGCACTTTATGGCCATGCCTCTCTGCTGACCGCCCTCTGGAGTCTTTGGCGCTCCTCGGTGCTGGCGACTGCAATCTGTGTCTGGATGTCTTCAACGAGGCTGCATGGTGCCTGGGCAGTGCTGCAGATGTTGCGGATGGTGCTCTGTGCACCGACTGGGGTCGTCCTCGCTCTGGGGCTGCAGCGCTGACTCCATCAGCAAAAGTTTCTGCCTAGAATCCCTCTCTTTTCTGGTTCTCAGCTTGAAAGAAGAAGTTACTCACCCTGTGAAGTAACGATTGTTCTTCGAGATGTGCCCTGTGGGTGCTCCACTCTAGGTGTCGGGTCCCGTCCCGGCGCCGCGGCTCGGAGAATTTTCATAGCCATGTCCCGCCAGCCCGCGCACGCGCGCTCCTTCAAAGCGCCGTTCACGCCTTTGATCAGCCGCGCGCAGGCTGGCAACTGCCAGTTCCTCTCAACCGCTCATCTGAACGAGAGAAAAAAAGAAACCCGGAGCGGGGAGGAAGGGCGGGTCGTGGAGCACCCACGGGGCACATCTCGAAGAACAATCGTTACTTCACAGGGTGAGTAACTTCTTCTTTGAGTGGCCCCGTGGGTGCTCCACTCTCGGTGACTCCGGAGCAGTACCTAAAAAGAGTCCAGAGCGCTCCGAAATTAGGTTTTATGATCACGACTAAGTACTGCCGTAGCTACCGAAGAGTCTGAAGCGAGGTGGTCAATTATAGCATAATGTCTCATAAAAGTGATATTAGAGGACCATGTCGCTGCCCTGCAAATGTCCCGGAACGGGACTCCCTTCAGGAAGGCCGTAGTAGTGGAAACTGCTCTAGTGGAGTGGGCCTTTGGAGGGTTTGGCAGGGGTTTCCCTCGTATAGAATGGCACATGGATATGCATGAAACAATAAGTCTCGAAATACGTTGAGAGGTCAATGGTTGGCCTTTAGAACGGTTTGCCAATGACACTATTAAGCGGTCCGTTTTTCTAAAGTCTCGCGTTCTATCGATGTAGAATGCCAAAGCTCTCCTTACATCCAGCGTATGCCATATTGCTTCTTGCGCTGAGGCATGGGGTTTAGGGAAGAAGCACGGAAGAACCACTGGTTCA